GGGGTATGTGGCCTATTATGCCAACGAGTTTCTGCTTTTGGGTGTGGCCTGTTATGCTAATGAGTTCCTGCTGGGCTTTTTCTACAAAAAGAGCCCTGTATTACAATTCGTGATGATTTGAATCGATGCGAGAACGCAAGGACTCGAGTCCTAAGCGGTGCTTCTGCTTGCCCTGAACGGGCAGGGGCTGTGGAGCAGGTTCTCCTTGTAGCCAGCTGCTTCCAGCCATGCCAGGTCAGACCCTTTCCATGAGCGAAAGAGTGCCCGGCGCCACGGAAGCGTGCCTTGTGGGGAAAGACGGCCCCCTGCGTCAGACGAAATGCAGAACTAACGGAAACACGACTTGGGTTCCCGAGTCAACTCACCATGAAAAAGTCCTGCCAGACCGGTTGTAGGTGGGAAATCCTGTAAACCCGTCTGACTGTAATAAAGGAGGGTGTAAAATCCATTCTGGCAGGTCATCCGTTTCGGTCACAACGTCCCATCCCATTTTATAGCCGACAACCGTCACACCACATTCCTGGAGTTTGAATCTCCGTGCCTTGCCTTCTGTTCCCAGGTGCCTTGACCAGGAGAAGTGAAGAAAGAAAGGATGGCAAAGGTGGCGGAGGAAGTGGGACTTCTCTGCTCTCCCTCGTCTGGCGCGTCATTTTTTATCTCCCCGTCTTCGATTCCCTATCGTCCGAGAGAGTCCGATACATCTTCATCAGCTTCGACGCCTGGGAATACGTTGGGAGTGACCATACCTGGGCCGGCCTTGTTACGACACTGCTGGATGAAATTGAAGAGAAGAATAAAACTCTCTTCAGTGTCGTTAGGGCCTTCGGTGGGGAACCCACCGAAGGGCCCATCCCACGGGGAAAGAGATGGGTTCCTAAAGGATGGAGTAAGATCTTCCTTTGGGGTTTCTCAGGTGTTTTTATCGGCTTAACTCTGTGTACTCTGCTGATGAGGGAGATTGCGGAGAACGAGTTATGGAAGAGCATGGGGTACATGACCCTAGTAGTGTCAGCAGCCGTATCTAGTCTTCCTTTCGTAGTGGTCATGAAGAATGTTCTTTTCACGATGAGAATGAAGCTTCAGAAGGACATGAACAGGAAGGATCTCAGTGCGCAGCTGGGCTTCATGCACTCTGTGAAGGAAGAGGTCAAAGCCACCATCCACTTCCTCCGCCTCATGGCACTCAGAGAGGACAGAGAGATCCGGGTGGTCTTGAAGATCACCAGCTTGGACTTATGCACTCCAGACAAGGTGGTGGCAGTCCTGGACGCCATCAATATCCTTCTTTGTGACCCAAACGCTCCCTTTATCTCCATCCTGGCTGCCGACCCAAGCATCCTAGTGGAATGCATTCAATGGTCAAGCAATACCTGCAGCAACGGCTACTTGTACTTGGACCGCATCATTTCCTTGCCCTTCTCTCTGCCGCGGATGAGTCCGATGGCCAAGTCACAGTTACTTGAAAAGATTTTGGAGGGTTTCACTGTAAATCCAGGTAAAGGATATCACGCAGAAAGTGGGAAGAAGAACACAACAAAGGAAACTGAGCAAAAATTAACAACAAAGGAAATTAAGCAAATCAGTCACTACCTACGCCATGAGAATTTTGATGCCTACTTCCCGGGGAACTCTGTCCAGATGAAGAGGGTCGTGAACACTGTGCTGACCGTGTGGACCATGATCAAAATGGGATTTCGACCCAAAGGAGGACACCAAAGGAATGGAACAGATGAGAGAGAGAGAATCGAAGAGATGATCGATTGGGTTGTCCTTGCCAATTGTTGGCCTTGCCGTCTGAGCTGGATTTTGCAATGCGTGGAGGATGATCAGCAGCGAAGTATACTTGAGGAAAGCCAAAGAAGGGCCTGCCAGGACAGTGTGGGAAATGCAGAAGGACACCCACAGGGGAGAATCTCAGAGAGGAACGGCAGGGGATTACTGGACGTTTATGAGGCCAACGCTTGGGATCTGGACAGGATGAAGTACAACCTCAGGAAGCTTTTGGAACTTGATGGAGACCCTGACCTTTTCCGAACCTTCTTGCAGAAGAGCCATTTTACAGTCGGGCGGGCCAGGTATTTTTCTGACCTCCTCCTCAATTTGGACTTCTCCTTAAAACGGCGCTTTGAATTGCTGCGTGGTCTCAGCAGGATCGCCAGGGCAAACAAAGACCACGATGGGTCTCCACCTGCTGAGGAATACTGATGTGTGTGGATAAGGGGAGGGAGAACTCTTTTCTCGGTCGCCGTGTGGGTCCAGGTCTCGGAATGACGGCTTTCAGGGGGATGCAGCGTTTATTTGGCCTTCGGCAATTATGCCACTCTCACAGTAGTGGAATGGGCAAAAACGGGAACTGTTACAGAGAGCGGAAGGGGGGGGGAATAATTATGCAGAGAGAAAATAACCTGCTCATAAATGGACAGAAAAAGGTAACCAAATAAAGAAGTAAATGCATGACGAAACCCAGAACAACATCAGCACAAGGGTATTCTCTCTGGTTTGCATCACTGCTCCTGTTCTTGAAGACTCAAAATATATCCAGAGTAAAGGTAAAGGTAAAGGTCTCCCTTGCTCGAAAGCCAGTCGAAACCGACTCTAGGGTTGCGGTGCTCATCTCCGTTTCCAAGCCGAAGAGCCAGCGCTGTCCGAAGACGTCTCCGTGGTCATGTGGCCGGCATGACTAAAAACCAAGGCGCACGGAACGCTGTTCCCTTCCCACCAAAGTGGTACCTATTTATCTACTTGCAATTTCTTGCTTTCGAACTGCTAGGTTGGCAGGAGCTGGAACTAGAGACGGGAGCTCACTCTGTCATGCGGCACACTCGGGTCTCCAACTGCTGAACTACCGACCTTCCACAGCCTGCAGTTCAGCGTCTTAACCACTTGAGCCACCGCAGCTCCTATATCCAGAGTACCTTCATCAAATCCAGAGCCCAGGAGTATTACGATGTGACCATACCTGGGCTGGTTAGAGATGCCAACTGCAGGCTGGGAAATTCCTGCAGGTTTGGGGGTGGAGTCTGGGGAGGGCCGGGCCCTTAGAAAGGTATATATGCCATACAGTCCACCCTCCAGAGCAGCCATTTTCTCCAGGGGAACTGATCTCTGTCATCTGGAGACCAATTGAAATGTTGGGACCTACAGTGTTAGAAGAGTCAAACAACAAATATATACACTGCAAAAACCTTTTTTATAAGTTAAAGTGTTCTATATGTTCCATCTTATAAAGTGCATTGTGTATTATTCATAATATTCTAAAACAGGCATATACAGGGCTATTTTGGGGCAGGAACGCACAGGAACAGAGTTCCGGCTGGCTTCAAAGTTGGCCACGCCCACTACAGCCAAAACCTCTGCATGCGTGGCTACAGAGGGAAGGCCTGGAGAGTGACCCCCC